CAACGCAACACAGCTGTGCAACGCAACACAGCTGTGCAACGCAGCACAGCTGTGCAACGCAACACAGCTGTGCAACGCAGCACAGCTGTGCAACGCAGCACAGCTGTGCAACGCAACACAGCTGAGCAACGCAACACAGCTGTGCAACACAACTGAGCAACGCAACACAGCTGTGCAACGCAACACAGCTGTGCAACGCAACACAGCTGTGCAACGCAACGCAGCTGAGCAACGCAACGCAGCTGAGCAACGCAGCACAGCTGTGCAACGCAACGCAGCTGAGCAACGCAGCTCTGGTTGCTATTTTACTCTGCGTTGCCGCTGTGACCCGGGTCGGCCCGGCGGGTTTTCACCTGACGCCGTGCGCGTGATGTGCGACTTGCTCCTGTGTTGCCGGGAGATGCTGGACAGTGGGCGGGGCTTGTCTCTGATTGGGTCGTCCTGGCCGGACGGCATCACGCTCTGAACACAGAACCAAAGAGACGCGTTGACTGACCCGACAGCTCAGCCTGCTGCTGCTTAAATATTAATAATCTGGATTATTAATCCAGGCTGGGCTCCAGCAGCAACTCTGAGGCGCAAAATAAAAATAAGGTTTAAATATAAAAGCAACAAAATCTGGTAATAATTTGATCCGTTTCCATGGATTATTTATATTTCAGGCACATTAATGGTTCAATAAAAGCTCTTTGTTAAAATCTTGTTTTTTATTAAACTCAGCTTTAATTGGACAATTAAAGTAAAATATGGGGGGCTGGAAAATTATGTAAAATATCTAAAAATAAAGCAGATGAACTAAATTCTGGGTTGTTTTGAGGTGAACAGGTTCAGAACCGGAGCACAGATCAGTTCTTCATCCCCGTTGCTATGGCGACTCAGCGAACGCTGCAGCAGGTAGAAATCAGGCTGCTGCGTTCAAGTCACCTTCAATCAGTGGGAACTCTGAGTTTGTTGTTTTCCTGAAGCTGCAGGAGGAAGAGAGCAGCTGCCTACCCTTCCCAGAGAGGAGATGGAGGGAGAGGAGGAGGAGGAGGAAGGCTGCAGGAGGCTCTGCTGGGAGGAGGAGGAAGAGGAGGCCTCCTTCTGCAAGAAGGCGCCGGCCGATGCCGACGTCATGTGATAGATGTGCTCAAAGTTGGAGGGGGGAGAGATGAGGGTGTGACGGGAGGAAGAGGAGGAGGGAGAAGGAGACGGGGAGGGAGAGAGGGAGGTGAGGTCACCGACCTGAACAGAGAGGAAGAGGAGGAGGAGGAAGAGGAGGAAGGAAAGAACAGAGGAGGAGTCAGTGATGACCAGAGCTGTGAGAGGAGAACATGCCATGCAGGGAGGAAGAGGAGGAGGAGGAGGAGGAGGAAGAAAAGGAAGGAGAGGAGGAAGAGGCGTTACCAGGGGGAGGTCCATCAGGACCTGCATGCCGTCTCCTGGTCCCATGTGGGCCACGTGGTTGAAGTTGGTCGGGTTGGAAATCATCTTGGACCGGAGCTCTGGGTCCCGCAGCATCTCCCTGACGACAGGAAGCAGAGGGGCGGGGCTTAACCAGCTTTACAGGAAGCAGAGGGGCGGGGCTTGACCAGCTTTACAGGAAGCAGATGGGCGGGGCTTGACCAGCTTCCTCACTCGTTCATTATCTGAACGGTGATGAAAACACAGCAGAGGAAGTTTCCCTGTAGCTCACTTCAGGGCAGCCGTCACTTTAACTCCATACTGTCAGTTTTTAATTGACAGTATGGAGTCAATTAAAAACTCCATACTGTTTTTAATTGTACGTCAAACCTGATGACGTCAGGTTTTCCGTCAGGTTTGATGGAAAACCTGACGACTGTCTGTCATTTTGACAGATTTCAGTTCAACACTTGGTGCAGATAGAGAGCATCAGGGGGAATTAATCAATCAATAGAACTTTTCCTGGTTCTGAGGATCCGACTCACCTCCTCTGCTGGAGCCGCTCCTCTTCTGGAACCTTAAACAGGAACTTCCTCTTGCTGCGAGTCCGAACCATCAGCTTCCTGCTGTGGTCCGACGTCTCCGGGATGGTGAGGTCTCCCTCTGCCAAGACAGAGAACCGTCAGCCGGTTCCGGTTCTGGTCCTGTTCCCGGTTCTGGTTCTGTGTTTTTACCTGAAGAGGCGTTGCTGAAGTAAACCAGGCGAGGCGGCTCTGAGCTCAGCAGGTTCAGCGTTCCTTCAGCATTCAGGGGGCGGAACTGGGGAGAGAGCCACGGTCAGTGCTGATTGGCTGAGCCCTGATTGGCTGAGCCCTGATTGGCTGAGCCCTGATTGGTTACCTTGCGCAGGGAGATGGTCTGGACCCATTCGGTGGTGTGGATGTCGAACACGTCCACTCCGTACTCGCTGTAAACTGTCAGGTGGGACGAGTTCGAACCTAAAGACCAAAGACAGGAATGAAACGATCCCACAGCATGATACTGCCACCACCATGTTTCACTGACTCTCACTCTGCTGATCAACCCTCAGATTCTAATAACTGCAAAGAACATCCTGTTATAGTCTTAAACTGTATATCGAGTTATTTTGTAATTTTTAATCTTTTTATGTGTGAAGCTGCTGACAAAATGTCATTTACAGTCAATATGTAGAAAAATGACTTGCCAATATTTCTAAACCATCATCAGAAAAACTAATCTGAAATCCTGGAGATGGGATGGATGTGAAAAGATGTTCATTAATAGTTAATGTTACTTGTTGGAAGCAGACATTAATATTTTAATGGTTCTATCAGTGTATTCCGGCCCTTTAAGAGCAGCAACAGGCCTGTTACAATAAGCAATAAATTAATTAACAGCTCAATGAATTACAACCAGATCAATAATTTCCATTTGATTAATTTATTTTTCTTTTCTACCAAAAACTGGATGTTAAAATCTTTAGTTTGGTCGTTTACAGCGACTCAGTTTGTTTATTTACTTTGAAAGTGTTAAATATTCATCATAATGTAGTTTATTGATCGCTGATAATCTGTTATTGTTATGTTACTGGAAAATGATGTGAAAACAGCAACATGACATCATCATCATCAGGTGGACCTACAGCAGGCCAGCGGCGCCGCCGGCCACATCAGCTCCTGGGTCCGGGAGCGCCGGCCCTGCCCGTCCACGTAGACGCCCAGCTGGCTGAAGCAGAGCAGAACCTCGCCGGCGCCGACCTCCAGGGCGTGCAGCGCGTCCATGGGCTGCTGGGCCAGGAAGGCCAGGGACGGGTCGGCCGGGTTCACCAGGCTGATGGGCGACGACTCGCCCTGCAGCGCCAGCAGCGCGAAGCCGGACGAGTATCCGACGCACAGCCGGTCCCGCAGCATGCCCAGCCACTGCACCGTCCCCGGCGCCTGCACCTCCCACAGCTTCTTGTGGTACGGCTTCGCCCGGCTGATCTCGTAGCACTGGACCTGCGGGGCGGAACCAGGGTTTAGAACGGGCCGGGCCGGGTCGGGCCGCGCCGGTGACGGCTCTGACCTGGCGCTTGGCGGCGGCCAGCAGGCAGGCGGGGCCTCCGGGTCGCAGCAGCCCGGTGGTCAGAACCTGGCAGTTCTTGGTCTCTGCCAGCTTGGTGTCGAAGGTCGACTCCGCCCCGTCCAGAACCCCCGACGGGTACAAGTGGACCTGCCGGTTCCGGCCGCACAGCAGAGCCACCATCTTCTCCTTGGGAATCAGTTCGATCTGGTAAACCTTCTTACTGTCAGCGGCCCGGACGATGACTGCAACACAGAACCATCAGAACCGGCTGCAACACAGAACCATCAGAACCATCAGAACCATCAGAACCAGCCACCCGGAGTCTTTCAGGCTTCTGTTGCTGGTTCTGCTTGGTTCTGTTGGGTTCTGTCCAGACTCTGGATGTCCGAAGTCCATCCAGTTGCTGGAATTGAACCAGTCCGACCAGCAGCAGCCTGAGGTGTAGAAAGCAAACCCCCAGCATGATGCAGCCACCACCGTGCTTCCCAGTCTGTTTCAGCTGTTTCTCCAACCATCCAACAGATTTGTTTTTCAGGATGAATTTAAAGCTGGAATTAAGATTAGAAATGATTTCTTCTGCACTGAAACGTTTCTGGGACGGACAGTAAACCATGCAGACTGGACCAGGAGGAGCAGGGACTGTGGTAAAACCGGAAAACTTTTCCTAAATGTCTTCATGTTCTGGGTAAACTGCTGATCTCCGACTCACCGTCTCTGGTCACCTCGACGATGAACAAGCCGTCTTCTGTTCCCAGGGCGATCCTCTCCCGATCTGCTCAGACAAAAGAAGCTTTTACTAAATAATAAAGAGCAACATGTCATCAGCATAAAGACAAACTTTATATTCAAACTGCTGCAGGTGCTAAAGTTTAAATTAAAACAATTAAAAAAACAAATTTTCAGGTTTTAGTTGTAAAAAATGTTTTTTTATAAATGTGTTCTTCTGGACCAAGTTTCACAATTACCCAATATTTTGAATATTTTGTATTTCTAAACTCAAAACACCAAGAAAACAGAAAACTTATGGTTTAAAAGGTGTAAAAGTCCACAACCCGACTGAAAACGAGCTGAGACATCAGTAACCAGAACAGAACCACAGAGTGGGTCTGCGGTTCTGACAGCGGCGGTACTGACCCAGCACGGCGGCGCACAGGGCCGTCTTGATGAGGGGCAGCGAGGCGTCGTACGCCTCATGCAGGATGTGGACCTGCTGGCTCTTCAGCTGGTTCTTGGTCAGGATGTTCTGCAGGCTCTCCAGAACCCGGACCCACTTCTTCTTCTCCTCCTCGCTCTCCGCCAGCACCAGCAGCGACACCGAGGAGAACTGCGAGCTCAGCTGCGACGACGTCACCTGCATCAGCGACAGTTAGGACGTGGCGGTCGGCAGGCGGCGGAGCCGGCCGAAGGAGGCGGGGTTTCCTACCCTGAAGATGCAGGGGACGTCCTTCCTGGTAGCGTGGATTACGTCCGACGCCAACACAGAGCTGACGGACAGATCTTCATCTCTGAAACAAACCCAACGTTACATAAAACCACAGACATCCATGTTCCAGTGATGTCTGATCCTGAGTTCACCTGAGGTCCAGGACCAGACCGGCCACCACGCCCGGCTGGGTGGACTTCCCCTCTGGAATGTCGTAGAGAAACAGTTTGCAGTCCGACACCACGGCGAACGCTCGCTGCCAGCCCTTCTTCACGCCGCTGGGCTTCGGGACCTGCAGCAGTAAAACGGAGCAAGAGACTCTGAAGCCTTGGCTGCTGAAGCTCAGGAAGCGAGAGCCGCTCTGCTGGAGGCCGGCAGCCTTACCCGGACGTAGCCCTTGTAGGCGGTGCCGATGCCCCTCTGGACGTCGATGCCCTGCGGCCTCTTGGCCTGATCGGCTGGGATGGGGCACAGCAGGGGGGCGTGGTCCTTACAGGCCACATGGCAGATGAAGGAGCAGACTGGAGGCGCACAGAGACGCATCAATACCGAGCCGAGCAACACCGAGCAGAACCTGCATCGGAGGAAACGTTTACCTTCGCAGGCGTATCCCTGGCGACTGAGGCCCACCATCAGGGAGGTGCAGTGGGAGCAGAGGGTGGGGCTGGAGAACGTCCTGATGCTCAGCTGGTGAGCTTTGGGCTGGAAACAAGGAGACACTCAGTTCAGAACCAGGAAACCTGATCCACATTTCACTGCAGCCATTTAGAGCGGCTCAAACAATCCGCTCTAAATGAATAATCAATAGGAAGACAGGGGTTCTTGTTTTTTGGGAAAATAAATCTAAATATCATCAGCAAAGAGTGAAATGAGATTCTTCTGCAGAAGAAGATGAGATTCCTGAGCGCGGAGCCCTGAGGAACGCCTGCTGGAAGAAGAGATGAGATTCCTGAAGAACAGGCAGAAGGAAAAATCACCCAGACTGTCAGACTGTTCCAGTTTTATGACACGTTTATCCATCAACCTGCAGGCAGCGATGAACAAAACGGGCTCAGGAGACAAAACCTGATGAAGGCTTAAATGACAAAGTCCGATTTGTCATTCTGCAGAAATGAGTTTGAGTCGCCAGAACCAATCGGAGGCGGCGGCGTACCTTGGGCGTAGCCAGCGCTGAGCTCTGTAAGGTGGGGGAGGGACTGTCGGGAACCAGCGGCGTTTTTCCGTCCTGTTGACACAAACCGAGTCGGTGAACAAACTCCTACAACCACAAACCTGCAGATACTGAAACTGTGGGTGGATGACCTCAGTCTCAGAGGCGGAGGATCGGGAAGGCGGCGTGGTGAGCGACTTCTCGGGGGTGGGGTCTAAATCTCCCGTCTGAAAACGACAGAAAATGAGTTTTAAACGTGAGAGCGGTTCTGGTTGATCAGAACTTTGGTTCTGATCGTTCTGCTCCGACTACAGGCTGATGGAGACGAATCCACAGAGACGAAGACGAGAACACGGCTATGAGGACCTGCATGTGTGGGAGGGGCTTAATCAGTGGGAGGGGCTACGTGAAGGGGCGTGGCCACGTTGAGGTCTCCATGTCATTAGTGAGCAGCTACGATTGAGGTTAGATGTGACCACTAGGGGGCGGACAGAGGACCGTTGGGATGGGTGGAGGAACGTCGAGGGACCTGCCGGGAAAACTTACTTCTTCCCACAGGGCGAGCAGGGAGGAGGCGGAGCAAAGTGACGCCTCCAGGTCACAGAGAGACACAAGCAACAGTCACTTAGTCATCAGACCTGCCGGCGCTGTGATTGGTCAGAGCGTGGCGAGCAGACTCACCCTGAAGGTGAGGTCCGGAACCAGAGGAGACGTGTTGAAGTAATCGAACATGGAGTCCTGGAAGTCTGGGAGCTTCAGGCCTGCACAGACACAACGAGTTGAACACAGAGCCGGGTCCGGGTCGGCGTCCAGGACAGACTCCTGACCTTTGTCGGAGCGGGAGCGGCTCTCCTCCACCTCCTTCTTCAGACCCTCCACCTGCTCCACCACCTCCCGCCTCTTCTCCTCAGACTCCTTCAGCTTACTGCAGCGACAGACAAAGGCGTATGAGGCGCCGAGCAACACAACATTCCCATCTAAGCCGAAGTGACCCCTGACCTCTCCAGGTTGATGTTGGCAGCCTTGACTTTGCGCAGCTCCTCCTGGACCATCTGCTTGGCCTTCAGCTCGGCGTCCAGAGCCGACTGCAGCTCCAGGCGGGCCGACATGTCCAGCTTCTGGCTGCGGCGGACCTTCCACAGCGGGTCCTGCAGCGGAGGAACCGAACACAGCAGGATGAAACTGCAGCGGCTGCATCATGAGCACAGAGCAACAGCCAGGCAGAGCAGCCCATGAAGCACACAGTGAGGAAGCATGTGGTGGCAAATCACTGATTTCACTCTGACCCCGATTCAAAACAACCAGGAACTTTAAAACCAAACAGCAGCAACGTCTTCGAACCAGCAACCTTCAGACGCCCAGCACTTAGCTTCTGCTACATGAAATCTAAAGAGCTGATTTAATCATTTATTCCATGTTTTAAGTTTCAGGTGAATAAAGTTTGACATCCGTCTTGAAACTCTGAAGTAGTTAAGTCGTTTATATTCATGTTTAGCATTAGCTTCAGCTAAATAACATATTGGTGTAATTCTTTAGCGTTAGCTTAATGCTATGTAGCATTAGCTGGAGCTAGCAGAACCGATGTTTTCCATTAGCGCGATAGCAGTGCCCAGCACTGGAATGATCCTGGATCAGTTCAGTCGGGTCCAGAACCTTGAACTGGACCCGTTGATGGTCCACATGCTGCCAGCCATGCAAGCGTCCGACAGATGAGGCGGAGCGACTCCGTTACGGCCAACACTCACCATCCTGTCTCCACCAATGGGAGGCCAGGGCTTCCTAGGGGGCGTGGCCACTCCTGACTCAGGCTGCCAGAGCGAGTCAGAAACAGAACCAACACTGAGGAACTACAACGGGTCGGACCGCAACATTAACACACTCCTTCACAATAAAAGCCTCTCTGTGGCTGAAGTGAACACGTTTAAGCTGTTAAAACGAGGGCCGGTGCTGAAGGTTCCCAGGAACCAGAAACCTGACCCGGTTCTGAGGGAGTTCTGGTTACCAGAGGTCGGGTCCCCAGGCTGGAGCTGCGCAGCGTCTCCAGTTCCTCCGTCATCTTGGTGGCCAGAGCCTGCAGGTAGCCGCGCGCGTCCTTCTCATCGCTGACCCTGAGCAGAGGAAACAGCGGCTGTGAGCGCACGGCGCCCCCCGGTGGCGGAGGAGGCGGTTCTGATGGGTCAGCCAATCACCACTGGATGATCTCTGCGATCTGAGCCTCCCAGTGCGCCACGCTCTCCTTCTTGGAGGACAGGTCCTGCAGGTCGTCCTCCAGCTGCCGGTTCTGAGCCGTCAGGTTGTCCACGAACGAACACAGCTGCAGGACGAGATCCGATTAGGTCGGGGTTTCTCACACCAACACTCTGGTTCTGGACGGGTCGGCTCACCTTGTCCGTCTCGGTCGTTAGCTTGCGGTTCTCTTCAGTCAGCCTGTTCTTCTCTCGCTCATATTTCTCCTTCAGCTCAGCGACGACGTCGTCCATCTCGTTCTGCCTGTAGAGCCACACACACACACCGGGTCAGAACCCGGTCCCGTCCCGACCCGGTCCAGTCTGCGGCACCCACCTGTCCCTGTTGGCTTTGTCCAGCTTGTCCCTGAGCTGCAGCAGCTCCTTGTTGGCGGCGAGCAGCGCCCCCTCTGACTCCTGCAGGCCCTTGCGGAGCGTTTTGATCTCTCCGGAATGGGCCGAGTCCTTCCGGAGCAGCTCCTCCTCGTAGAACAGAACCTTCTTATCCAGCTCCGCCTTCAGCCGGGACAGTTCCTGCTGGGACTCCGCGCCGCCGCCACCCACGGCTCCTCGGCCCTGTTGGGACTGCAAACAGAACCACGATGACTGGGCTGCTGCAGGGAACTCGCTGGTTCTGGTTCCGGTTCTGGTCCCACCTTCAGGCTCTGCAGCTCCGTCTCCAGCTGTTTGGAGTAAACTTCGCTGTTCTCCCTCAGCTTCCTCTCCTTCGACGCCTCAGCCTTCGCCTCGTCCAGCTGAGCCTCCAGCTGGGACACAAACAAAGGCTTTTATTGTGAAAGGATCGCTGCTTAAGGAGCAAAACAAATAAAATACAGGAACATCTGGAAGACTTCAATACTTGGTGCCATTTTGATGATTGTGGCTCACAGATGGTCCTCAAAACCATAATAATAATAATAATAATAATAATAATAATAATAGCATTATGGGCTGTCTGGAGGAGAAGACGACACCAAAGGTTTCTGCTACAGAAACTGGTTGTTCCCAGAATTTTAAAAATATTTTTATATTGATCTGATGTGGGACTGTAATTTTCTGGTTTTCATTTCCTGCAAGTCAGAATTATATAAGTGACAAGAAGTGAAGGTTGGAAATGTGTCAGTGTGTGGGACGAATGTCAGCTTCACTTTCTGACATCAGGGACAAAAATATTCCCACAATATTTAACACTTCAGATGTCAAAGTTCAACAGAAAAGTCCCTTCAATCTGGAACAAATGAAGCAAGTCGCCCCCTGGTGGCCGTAAAAAGTAACTGCAGCTTAAAGACAGTCGATCGTTTGTCATATTTGGTCTGAAAATGAATTTACACACCAAGAAATTGAGCAGATCTGACTGAAAACTCAAAGATAAACCAGATTATTGCTGAAGAAAGGCTTCAATCAATTCCAATTAATTCTACTAATCAAAGAGATCAGAGTTTTGTGGGTTTTCAGTGGGTCGGCCTGAGAACTGAGCCTGAAAGGTTCATTCAGGATTTCACTTTCAGTGTCAACAGCAACATTTTCCAATATCTTAGATTAGATGTGAAACGTCTGCGGTGTTCCTGACAGACTGCTGGAAGCTTCTCTACTACAAGTCTTTTATTTTGAAGAGTTTCATTGAGCCTTCCTCACCTCCTTGCGGTTCTTCTCCGTCTTGCGGATCTCCTGTCTCAGGGCGTCCATCTTCTGCATGAGCGCGTCCATCTCCTCCTCCTTGTCCCTCAGCTGGCGGGACAGGCGCTGCTTGGAGGAGCGCAGCTCGGCCATCCGCTCCGACAGCTCCGAGAACTCCTGCAGGGCCAGCTTCCTCTGGGAGTGCGCCTCCTTCAGCTCCTTGGTCTGGCTGCGCAGACGCTCCAGGGAGTCGGCCAGCTGCTGCTCGGAGGGAGAGGAGGATGGAGACACCGACTTCATGAGGGGACGGGGAGGATGGGGAGGACGGGGAGGACAGAGAGGACAGAGAGGACAGGGAGGACAGGGAGGACGGGGAGGACAGAGAGGACAGGGAGGACAGGGAGGACAGGGAGGACGGGGAGGACGGGGAGGACAGGGAGGACGGGGAGGAAGGGGAGGACAGGGAGGACGGGGAGGACGGGGAGGACAGGGAGGACAGGGAGGACAGAGAGGACAGAGAGGACGGGGAGGATGGGGAGGACAGAGAGGACAGAGAGGACAGGGAGGACGGGGAGGACAGAGAGGACGGGGAGGACGGGGAGGACAGGGAGGACAGGGAGGACAGGGAGGACGCTTACCTTGTGGATGTCGTCCTTCTCCTGCCTCAGCGACTTCACCTGCTTCTCCAGGTTCTTCATCTTGGAGGCGGAGCTCTCGAAGTCCTGCCTGAGCGTGACGGCCTCCTCCAGCTGGTGCTCCAGCCTGTCAGAGTCTGCCACATCGCAGGAGAACGGGTCAGGGTCGGAACCGGGCCCACAGAGACCGGAACCGGGCCGACTCACTGACCTGCCAGCTTCTTCTTGAGCCGGTCGATTTCCTCGTTCAGCTTCTTGATCTCTTTGTCCCGGGCCAGAGTTCCTCCCCTCGCCGGAGCCTGGAGGGCCTGGGTGGACTCTGAGGGGACAGAGGACCGGGTCGGGGTGAGAGACGGACCGGGTCAGGTCCAGAACCGGCCGGCTCCGTCCCCAGGCGTTTGCCCACCTTGCAGTTTGCGGTTGAGCTCCAGCTTCTCCTGCTCCAGGCGGCGGATCCTCTTCTCAAACGCCTCCACCTCCGAGCCGCCGCCGCCGTCCGGCTCCGTTCGGACCCCCGGCGCCGCCCGGCCGGCCGCGCTGCGGTCCGAGAAGCAGCTGTCGGTGGTGAAGGTGAAGCCGACGAAGGGGAGGTGCTGGCCGGTGAAGCCGGTGTGAGACACTGGCGGTCCGATGTCCTGAAGACAAACAGAGCCGTGAAGCAGCCGAGGACCACTGGAGGTTCCGGTTCCGGTCCGGGCCGGGCCTCACCGGGTTCTTCAGGACGTCGTCGTCCACGTCGAAGTTGGAGGTGTCGGTGGGCGAGGAGACGTCGGGGATGTACGGCGCCTCGGCGGAGCGGATGTTGTCCCAGTCGATGCCGCTGAAGAAGGCGTGGCCCTTGAAGTCCGAGATGCCGTTGAGGCCCAGGCGGCGTTCCCGGGAGCAGAGCAGCCGCTGGATCAGATCCTTGGCGTCTTCAGAGACGTCGGTCACATGGGAGGGGAACTGGAAACGCTCCTGGAAACCAGACAGGAAGTCAGGACCGGGGGACGAGCAAAGAGAGAGAGAGTGAGAGGCGTCCGTCCACTGAGGGACACGCTCCCATTTAGAGGACAGGAAGTAGGACAGGAGTCTGGAGATGAAACGTAACCTGGAAACGGCAGCAAGACTCCAGCCAGAGTAATCTGATTACATTCTGGGTTCACAAAGGAAGGAAGACGGAGCTGTAATAATAATCACGATACTGGTCAATAATCATCTAATTATTATTGATTAGTTTTATAGTTTAGATATCCAACATCCAGCCAAACTGGTGGCGTGTCACTTCCTGTTTCATTTCACAACGTTTCTATTTAAGCAGCAATGAAACACGGTGGAGAAACCTGAAGCTGCTGCTGCGCACTACAGGCTGTTGCTAGGCAACCAAAGAACGAGCGAGCGAGTTAGTCGAGAGACAAATCTCGCTGGGAGGGAGGAAGGAAGGAAGGAAGG